GGCAGCCATATTTGTCCAAAAAAACATTATTTGAATAGTCATCAACTGTTTCTTAGGCATGCTATGGCCACTTTCATTCAAACTTGGTATGAACATCACACATAATTGGTTATTTTGTAATTTGATTTAAAATGGCCAATTGGAGGCCACAATTGTTTTATTTACTTGAATCATTACCGTGTCTCAGATGATCACATATGTTAACATGACACTAAACTAAACATTCACACACAATGGATCCCTAAACAAAACAATGGAGAGAATCTCAAAAAAGGCTAGAAAAGTAGAAACGACTGATGGCTAATATTTATGATAACAATTCAAACAACTTTAAACCTAAGACCAAACTTTTTAAAATGTTACATTTACCTATTTTACTATATGCATCTGAATTATGTGGGATATCTATTATAACAGAAAAGTGGGACATCATAGTTACTGAAAAAATTCACCTAAAATATTGCAGGCACATTCTGAATATTAATAATAAAAGTAGTACAATAGGCTGTAGGATTGAAACTGGCAGGCTACCTTCAATTTCAAAGATTCAAATTCAAGCTGTCATATACTATCAAAACATTAATAATCCTTTAATTTTACCTTCCATGCAGTTAGAGAATTGCTATAAAGACATTAACAAAATTAAAGACCTGTACAATATTGACCTTTTGACTGTTTCTAGTAATGTACTCTATCCGAAAACAAAAGTCTATTATACTAACATGTTGACCAATAATATTAAAAGACCAGATGCAAAACAGTCTACTGTCTTACAGTCCTACTTAAAAGTGATATTAGTCCAGCTAAATACCTACCATTATTAAATAATAGACAAGATATTAAATTGATGTCTCAACTTCAAATAGAAGTAGGCAGACCTAAATTCCCTGTAGAGAACAGGATTTGTGATTTTAATACAAATGGGAACTATCAGTATGTTATTGTCAATGAGTACTTTAAAACAAAATCTATAATTTTAGGAAGGAAATTAAAGAAGGGGGTGTTGAGTTGCTTGAGAAGATGAAGAAGTATCAACCAAAGATTGCATGTTTCAACGGTAAAGGCATTTATGAGATATTCAGTGGACGCAAAGATTTTGAAATTGGTAAGCAGCCGGATCCTTTGGAGGGAACAAATACGGTGAGTTGTTTTATGTTGTGAATTTATACTATGAGATGGTTTATTTATTACTACTTGTGTAATAATAATAATTTTATAAATAAACACTTGCACATTGGATTGGCAATGGTTACAAATGTTTAAGAAAGAATAAAAGGTTAAAAATCTAAGCTAATACATTACAAAAAAAATAATATTAAAACTAGTATGCTATACTAATCATAATCACCAGACAGCATTTTAACCTTTTGAAAGATAGAAAACAAAATGCAAAACTTAACTGTGAAAGGAAATTGTCACTGGGGTTGCTGTCTTATTTCAAACCACTTCTTTAGGTACCTTGCTACAGGGAGTGTTAGACCACTGTAGTTTAGCAAGGCCATGAATTGTGTCTGTGGTGACAAATTTTGAAGATTTTGGTTTTCGTCATTTCAAATAAGACATTTCTTTTGGGGATATAATTTGTGCATGACATCTTAAGATGATACTCATCTTCTACTGTAATATGTGATTAATTGCATTTGTAGAGCATGCAATAACCACAGTAATTAACGGCAACAATTTATAAGGTTAGGATATGCAACTTTAATAATCACATATGATGATATATTCATTCGAGTAAACGTTGTTAAAACATGTTCTGACCAATAACATCACAAATGCCATAGAAGCATGTCAATAACCGAGTGAATGTGAGAATTACATAAACCATGAGTGACCAAGATTATTGTTTATTCCGAGGAGAAAAAAATATGCAATATACAGGCTATATATTTGCTATGGCCAGTATAACAAAAAATATTTTATTTTAGCGGGAATTAATTTTCGCTGTAAAAATATTTTGAGTA